GACGGAGTAAGGCACCCGTCGGTACACTTCGTCTTGTCGCATCACACGTTGAATTCAGTATCTGTTGGGCTGGCAGGAGTTGTGGCATACGTACGCATCTCCATGCTTCAGCTTAGTGTACATGCTGTGCAGACAGTGGCCAGACTGAGCACGCTCATTTGTTGTTATTGTCTCTCATCAGGGGTGTAGATTGGTATCGTGTGAGGGCCGCACACAGGGCACGCATGGTTGCGTGCAACGTCAGTGCTGCAGTTGCCCGTCGCTTGAGTTGGCAATCAGACTCATCGACGACCAAATGGCTGTAGAATCAGGCAGAATACTGTCTCTCTGTCTCTCTCTCTCTCTTTCTCTCTCTCTCTCTCTCTCTCTCTCTCTCTCTCTCTCTCTCTCTCTCTCTCCCTATCCATGTCGCTTCTCCTCCTCCACCTCGTCCTCCACCTCCTCGTCGTCATGATCATCACCATCACCATCACCATCACCATCACCATCACCATCATCATCATCATCATCATCATCATCATCATCATCATCATCATCATCATCATCATCATCATCATCAACGTCATCATCATCAGCATCATCATCATCATCATCATCATCATCATCATCATCATCATCATCATCATCGTCATCGTCATCGTCATCGTCATCGCCATCATCATCATCGTCATCACCCGCATCATCAACATCATCGACTCCTTAACCACCATCATCATCAACAACATCATCGCCATCAGCATGATCATTATAATCAGCATCATCGTCATAACCACCACAATGTCACCATCATCACTATCATCATCACGATCAACATCATCACCACAACAACAATCAGCATCATAATCATCATTATCAGCATCAGTATCAGCATCATCACCATCAACATCATCATCATCATCATCATCATCATCATCATCATCATCATCATCATCATCATCATTGCCACCGTCACCGTCACCGTCACCGTCACCGTCACCGTCACCACCACCACCACCACCATCCCATCACCACTAGCATCACCATTACCATCACATTCACCATCACCATCACCATCACCATCGCCATCAAAATCACCATCGCCATCACCATCACCCTCCTCCTCCTCCTGCTCCTCCCCCTCCTCCTGCTCCTCCCCCTCCTCCTGCTCCTCATCCTCCTCCTCCTCCTGCTCCTCCTGTTCCTCCTGCTCCTCCTGCTCCTCCTCCACCTCCTCCACCTCCTCCTCCTTCTCCTCCTCCTCGGCCTCCTCCTTCTACTCCCTTTCCGCGGGCGGCGGTTCCTTCGTGTCTGCCGCCGCCTGGTCCCTCAGCGACTGAGCGGTGAGCTCGTAGCTGTGGTGGGCGCCGGTCTCCTATACGCGCGCGGCGGAGGAGGAGGAGGAGGAGGAGGACGAAGAGAATAGAGGAAGGAGAAAAGGGGAGAGGAAAGGGGAGGAGGAGTAGAATGAGGGGGAGGGAAGGAGGGGAAGGAGAAGGAGGGGAAGGAGGGAGGGGGAGAGGACAAGGGGAGGGAGGGGAGGGAGGAGGAAGGCAAGAGGAGTGAAGACGGCCGAGCGGAGGGCGCCGCCCGTTCGGCCATGCACGAGATCGAGGGTCTAAGAAGGCAGAATCTCGAGGATTGAGAAAACCGAAGAGAGACCGAGAAGCTCGACCGACGGGGTCGGAGGAGAACCGAGAAGCTCGAACGAGGGGATCGGAGGACACCGAGAGATCGGCGTCGGCGTCGGCGTCGGCGCCGGCGTCGGCGCCGGCGTCGTCGTCGTCCTCGCCAGGCGTCGTCGAAGAGCGCTGGGGGCGCAGACGCCGAGCGTGAGCAGCGGCAGGCGGCGGCGCGGCGCCTGCTTGCGCACCTCGTCGAGCTGTGCCTGGCTGGCGCCCGAGGCCGGCCCGTCGCTGGCTCGTCGTCTTCCAGGGGTCGTCGTCGTCGTCGTCGACTTCGTCGAACTCGTCGTCGTCGTCGCAGGCGTAGGCGTAGTCGAGAGCGCAGGGGGGGAAAGGGCACATCGTCGTCGTCCAAGTGTCGTCTCACCTTCAGCGTCGGCGTCGCCGTCGACGGCGCGGGAGGAAAAGGGGTCATAATTGTCGTCCGTCGTCGTCGGCGTCGTCGTGGAAGGCGCGGGGGGAAAAGGGATCGTCGTCGCCGTCGTCGAAGGCGTAAGGGGGAAACGGGTGGTCGTCGTCGTCCACGGGTCATCGTCGTCGTCGTCGTCGATCTCGTAGAACTCGAAGAACTCGTAGACGTCGTAGAACTCGTCATCGTCGTCGTAGTCGTCGATAACGTAAAAAGCAAAAGTGCAACCGTCGCCTTCCAGGGGTCATCGTCGTCATCCGAACGTCATCGTCGTCGCCGTCGTCGAACTCGTCGACGTAGTCGTCGTCGAGAGCGCGGGGGAAAAAGAGTCACTGTCGTCGTCCAGGGGCCATCGTCGTCGTCCAGAGGTCGTCGCCGTCGTCGTCAACATCGATGAGGGCGTGGCGAGAAGACGGGTCATCGTCGTCGTCCAAGTGCCATCGTCGTCGTCCGAAGGTCGTCGTCGTCAAACTCGTCATCATCGTGGTCGTGGTCAACCTCGTCGAACTCTTCGTCGGCGTCGTCGACGTCGCCGTCGTCGTCGAACTCGTCGTCGTCGTGGTCGTCGTCGTCGCCGTCAACAGCGTGGGGGATAAGGTGTCATCCTCGTCGTCCAGGTGTCGTCGTCGTCGTCGAATGCATCGGGAGACAGGGTCGCCACCGTCGTCCAGGGGTCATCGTCATCGTCCAGGGGTCGTCGTCGTCGAACTCGTCGAACTCGTTGTCGTCGTCGTCGACGGCGTGGGAACGAACGAACGAACCGCCACAATCGTGCCCGAGCACGTCCCTCGGGGGATGGGCGGCATGGGCCGCAGCCCTCAGAAATTAGAGCGCTCGTAGTAAACTCACCGATAGCATCGGAACTCCTTCTCCAGGTTTCTCCACCATTTGTTGTCTGTCGCAACGTGCAACCAATTTGTTCCATACACAGCATATCCAGCATCCAAAAGAAGCTGCAAGATCTCGTGGTTCCAACGTCTTTGGGGCCCGTGCGGTCGGCGACCCCTTACTCTCTGGCAGTCCGCCGCGTTCCAAGTCGTTGCCTTCACTGCCCACCAGTCCCTTGGCAAGGCAGCCAGCCTCGCAGCATAACGCCAAATCTTGCCCCCCTTCGCACCGCCCAACTGTCCACGTTAAGCTCGGCCATGTGACGTTCCACTTGTGGTGTCGCCTATCCCTCGGGGTCGGTGCCCGTTGATGTAGTGGGGGTGAGGGAAGAGGAGGACAAGGAGGGCTCCCTCTCTGTTTTCTGCGGTGGTGTCGCCGCTGCTGCCGCCCTGGCCGCTGCTCAGTGGCGCAGCGGCGCAGCGGCAAGGTCTCTGCCCCCCAGCTTTGTGAAACGACGCATCTGTTTCGCTACCCTCAATCCGGGGCGGGAGAGTTGCGCTCGGGAGGGGGAGAAAGAATACTACACCTCGGGCGCACGACCCTGGGCCGAATGGCATACGGAAAGGGGAGCCCAAAAGCGGACGCCAGTCCGTCGGACCAAGGATGCCGCCACACACTTCCGAGTGGGGCTCCCTCACACGATGCTCACGCGGACCGACACGCGGGCAGCTTGACGGCGTAACGGTCCGAACGCATACAATCAAGCGAGAGCCACCATCCGGAGGGATATGCTTGAAGTCTTCACCACGTGCCTACCCGAGGCCACAACTCAAGCTACGTCTGATCAAAGTTGTCCAAGGCTCGATAGTATATCAGATACTTGAGCTGATGGAGGAGATGCACTTGCTGAGCTGGAGTAGTCACGTTCGTCAAAATTGACTTCAAGTGTTCGCTTTGTGCGCCGCCGCCCAACGCCCAATACCATGCGAAGCATTCTACGTTACGTCGTCGGGAGTTTTTGCTTCATTGCGACTTCAAGCTCGAACAGCCAAATAAGACAGTCATCGTACGGATCATCGTCGTCGTCATCACCGTCATCGTCGTCGAACTCGTCGAACTCGTCGTCGTCGACTTCGCCGTCGTCGTCGAGGGCGTGAGAGGGAGGGGTCGTCGGCGTCGTCCAAGGGGGTTCGTCGTCTTGTAGAGGTCGTCGCCGTCGTCATCGTCGTCATCATCGCCGAAGGCGTGGACAGAAAACGGGTCATCGTCGTCGTCCAAGGGTCATCGTCGTCGTCCAGGGACCGTCGTCGTCGTCAAACTCGTCGTCGTCTTCTTCGCCGTCGTCGAGGGCTTGGCGGAAAAGGAGCCATCGTCGTCGTCCAGGGGTCCTTGTCGCCGTCGTGAAATCCGTCGTCGTCGTCGTGGTCGTCGTCGTCGAGGGCGTGGAGGAGAAGGGCCCGTCGTCGTCGTCCAGGGGTCCTCGTCGTCGTCCGGGGGTCGTCGTTGTCGTCGTCGTCGAGAACGCGGGAAGAGAAGGGGTCATCGTCGTCGTCCTCCTCGAACTTGTCGTCGAATTCGTAGAACTCATCGTCGTTGTCGTCGTCGTCAAGGGCGTATGGGGAAAGGGGAAGTCATTGTCGTCCAGGGGTCTCGTCACCGCCATCGTCGTCGAACGTGTCGTCGTCGTCGGCGTCGGCGTCGGAGTCGCCGTCACCGTCGTCGTCGAGAGCGCGGGGGGGGGAGGGGTCATCGTCGTCATCCAGAGATCACCGTCGTCGTCGCCGAGGGCGGAAGGGAAAAGGGGTCATCGCCGTCGTCCAGGGATCATCGCCGTCTTCGTCAAGGGCGTGGGGGAAAATCGTCGTTCAGGGATCATCGTCGTCGTCGTCGTCCACGAGGGCGCGGGGAAAAGGGAACATCGCCGTCGTCCAGGGGTCCTCGTCGTCGTCCAGGAGTCGTCGTTGTCAAGGGCGCGGGGGGAAAGGGGTCATCGTCGTCGTCCTCCTCCTCGAACTTGTCGTCGAACTCGTCGAACACGTTGTCGTCGTCGTCGTCGTAGTCGTCGTCGTCGTCGTCAAGGGCGTAGGGAAAAAGGGTTCATC